ATATTCATATTTATATAAAAGATATATCTTGCTCGCTGTTTTTAAATAAAAAAAACTATTTTAGTAGCATACCGGCTTTTTTTTATTATTAAAATTATTAATTATTATATATATTATCTTTATTTATTTAATTTATAATATATTTATTTTATTATACTTATAATATAGTTTAAATCGATTTTTCTCAGCAAAGCTTTATATAGTTATATTCTTACTAAATTATCTTATATTATTAATAAATATTTTTCTAATAACAATTTTTAGAAAGTATTAAAAATTCTTAATAACTATACTATTTATTATAATTAATATTATATTCTAGTTATTTAATATCTTGTTTATTAGTTCAAGTATAGTTCTAATATAATATATAGGTTTATATATTTGATATTATTATAAATAAGTTATTTAAAAAGTTTAAAAATTATTAGTAGCTATTTTATATAGTTTATTTTTTATTTTTTCTTTTATTATCTTTTCTCTGTATTTGTCGTGTTTAATATACTAAATATTTATTTTTTTTTCTCGCGTATTTTATCTTTATATTTTATACTGTTATATCTTTATATTCTTATATTTTCATACTTTTTTATACCCGGTGTCTTATGCTTAGTATTTTTTGTTAAAATACTTTTATATATTTTAAATTATAATAATTCTTTTTATTAACTATATTATTTACATATATAATTCGGAGAATTTTATTCTTAAAGACCGGTATTTATAGTATTTGTTAATTTTATTAATATTTTGTTGTTTGTTTAAAGCTATTTTGTTTACTGCTTCTGGCGGTAGAACTTCGGCTTATTTGATGTTCTATCTCTTCGTCATTAATACAGTAGGCTACTATTATAATAGATATAGACTGCTGTAACAGAAGATATTGTAGAACGGATTAGCCGGACTGTTTAGCTTACTTAAACTTATTTAAATTTTCTAAAATAGTAACTATAATTTAGACAGTAAAAGATCTGTATTTGCAGTTTTATATGATTTTATATAAAAAATAAATATATACTTAATTAGAAATAGTATAATATTCGGACATTTTACTTTTTTGGGCCTTAGCCAGGTGACTTCTGGATACCAACACGATGTCTTTAGCGGGTTTCTTCTAAAATATAAGTCTGTTTTTAGAAAAAAAATTGAGACAAAAAATAGCAATATTCAAGTTTATGTGGTATGTTCTTACTTTTTGATCCGCGCTAAGTGGGGTCGGTCCATCTGAATATTTCGAAATGTTCAGATGATCTGTAGATACAAAGGAACTAGCTGACTAACTAATGAAATCAATTACTAAGCCACTTTTTCCTGTGGCCTGAGGTCAGTGTACCTAATCAACCCCTTCTGATAGAATTTGAACTTCCTGGATCAATGCTCAGTTGACCAGTCTTAAATAGGTCTTTCTATTATTTATTATCGGGGCCCCGTGTGTTCAACACCTGGACAGGACGCCGTACATATTGGTGGATGTACCATGGCACTGTAAGTAATATGGCAGGTTAGGCTGAGCCTGCATTTGATTAACTACCGAACAATTTGGCCTTGATTGTCAAATATCACGGAGAAGGATGTGTATCTGACCCTGACAGGCCAATGATGTAGAGCTTTCTTATTTACCAAATTTCGATCAAACCAGGGTTCAGTACTGACATCAAAAACCTCATCCACCAATGGAAGGATAAAGCATTATGAAACCATCCACTCTCCATGAACGACGGCATACGTGTAAAAGACTGTTAAAAAACATGCGTACCTACGATATGCAGGAGAGGGGTGACAGAATAGAGGAGAAAAGGGGACGTGTAGTCCTTGTCCGTGATATGGGAAGATCAGCGCCTTCAAACTATAGAAAGCGCACCTTCCAAAAGCGGCCACAGTATTGAGACCTTAGCACTGTGATAAAAGCAGTCTTGTCATAACAATAAATATGTGACAACCACAGTGATTACAGTAGTATTCCAGAGTACCGATGACATTTCCAGTCCATTAAAGATAAAGAGATACATCACTATTGCACTAGAATATTTCAGCATTAAAGCCTACTAGTATTTGCACTGAACTTCTTTGCCCAGGGCTGTGCTCACGACGAGAATGCCCGCGAGGAACAAGCGATTATAGTCAGGCTTACGTGAAATTGATGAGAGTATACTTCAGAAAGCCAGCAATACTTGCAAGGATTCAATAACTGGATATCGGCGGTGGCAGTGGGGTATATAAAGCCAAAATGTTAGCCCGTTGACTAAAGCTCGCTGGAATGATGAAGATCGAGGTTGTCGTTATTGATGCACTGTTGAGACTACAATTGTTGAACTCATTTTTGTCATGATTGAAATAGTCACAGGATTAACTTCAGATGACAGAGGGAAACAGCATCTATGATCGGCGAGTATCAAAAATTTAAACGCTTTCAAGAACCGTTTCCTTGAACTCCCTCTCAACCTTGTGACCCTTGTCATCGGTCGTAGACTCTCCGTGCAGGTTAAGCAGCGCACCGAGGTCGAACTTGGGGGACTTGAGAAGCTTGACCTTGCGGATGTGGACCTAGTGTATGGTTAGTGGTCTGACAATATTAGATATCCGTGTCGCTAGACTAACGTTCTGCAGAGGATAGATGCCCTGGGTAGACTTCTCAATCTCACGGCCGATAACCTCGGGAATTAGCTTGGTGGTAAGCTGGGCGAGAGAGCAGCTGGCAGCTTCGCGCTGAATGATCTCGGTCATCTTCTTGCGGATAGCACGGATCTGGGAGGAGCGAGCGTATGTGGTCTTCTTGATCTGGTTGGGGCGTCTCTTGGTGAAGGCAATGGCGAAGAGACGAAGGAGATAGTCGTCGGTGGTCTTAACGGTGACATTGGCCTCGATCAAAGACTGCCACTTGCGTACCAGGGAACGGAGCTTGTCGGTGGTGAAATCCAATCCGTGGAAGTTGGTCAAGCAGTTCTTTCCCTGGATTTCGTCGACACGGAGCTTGACCTTGCGGAAGGCGTGATCCTCATCGTTCTGCAGGTCGGCAAGGGAGACCTCGACGATCCGGCCCTTCAAAGAGTCGTTGGCGTTCTTCAGACCGCTGGTGCGGTTGACCAGAGTCTTTCCAACACTTTATAAAAGCTTGTTAGCGTCATTGTCGTATACCCGGGGCCACGAGGTAAGTGTTGCACGAGATAATGTCATAAACGGAACGTTGGGGTCGCAGCATACTCTCGGACTTGGAAAGTTGAAGGAGCCTAATTGCGATCAGTCGAAGCCAGAGCGCTACTATTGAATGCAAAATAACTATACCTTCAAGGAGTACTCGTCCTTTCTGGAGAAGGGATCAACGGTTCTCTTCTTGATGCCCTTCTTGCCCTTCGACAAGCGCTTGTTCCTACCAAGCAATCAGTTACTGAACGTCCAGATTGTAGTCTGATTTTCGGTAGGTTGAGAGGGGATGTATAATTTCGCATACTTTCCGACGGCCATTATTGCGACTCAGGTCTATCCCGCAACAGTTGAAGACAGACTGAAATATCACACCAAGCGCACTGGTGGAGGGAGTCGATTCGATTGTCGCTGGCTTGCTGCTCAATCGCGGAAAAGTGTAGAAATCCAAATCCCACAGAAAAGTCAGCTAAGCGAGCCGTCGGCCCTACCACCAAATTACATAATATGCTTCCCCACAAATACTCTGTCTTGAGACGTTTTGATTGGCTCCCATCGGTCAAGCACGCGTGACTCTGAGTCCATTTTCCATAGATCTACTCCGTATAATGACTTGTTATTGGAATAGTCTGATACAGCATATAGTCTGTTGCAAAGTTCTGTTCATGTCACTATCTGCAAATGCAGGCTCTAGGCTCTTCCCTTCAAATCCGGTATATCTATCAAGATCGGCAAACCAGACAGGATACTCCGTACAATCTTCAGTATTCTCTGTCTCCTATGGTCATGTCTAAAGATCTATCCCAATCGAATGCCAATTGTGTGGGGCTATACAGAATATGCAGAGTTCTCGGTGTAAGCAGCATGACTATCACTTGCTGTTAGGGTGTACAGTATGGACGTGCGAAGTTACCCTTTTTAATATTCTAAGACTTTACTTTATATTCGCATTTCCCGCGAAGAGAAATACTACTTAAGTGCCTGGAAATACAGTATGCGGATTGGCAACTCTCCACCGTTTTAGTTACATGATATTATATGTACCGCAAGGAAGATTTATCGATCAATATGTACAAAGTACTCGGTACACAAAGTACTCGGTACTCCGTACTTTCTTCCTTGCTAGCTGCATGTGTATTTCCAACTTTACGGAAAATTTACATATGGGCAAGTGGTCCGGGTGCTGACATCAGATTACCGACGGCCCGTGACCATGAACTCCACAGGATCAGAGTGTTCATACTTTCTGGCCTCGCACCATCATAGATCACAAAAGTTTGAATCATGGTATGTTATCTGACTTCTTGGTGATAATGGCGATAATTCTAATGCTCGGTTTGCAATTTAGGGTAAGCGAAAGAAGTCGAGCAGGCAGCCCCAACAAACACGAAAGGTGATTGATGCGCTTGGTACCTATAACTCTCACTGTTTATTGACTCGCGACAGAAAGAACCACTGCCCACCACATTTGCATGTTTGTTTTGCAACCACGAAAACTCGATCATAGTAAAACTGGATAAGAAGCTTGGTCTGGGAAACCTCACTTGCAAAGTGTGCGGGCAACGATTTCAGACAGGAATCAATTGTGAGTCCGCCTTCCCCGGATCATGTTCGAGGATGTCGGCCTGCTCATCTCACGCTCTAGACCTCTCTGCCGCCGTTGACGTGTACTCGGATTGGGTGGATGCTTGTGATGCGGTTGCCAAAGACACTGCCCATAGATACGAAGAAAGTGATGCCCGCGTCGGACACTCAAATGACTTCAGTGCTTCACCTAGTGCTCGAAACCTGAATACCGAAGATGTGGATCCTGGTGAAGAATATGCTGATGATTACTGACGTGCCTGCGACAATTGGCGGGGAGTAAGAACCAGATCTCCCTTGCTCTGGTTTAAAGACTCCATTAATGCCTACATACCGCCATATTGAGTGTAATAAAAGTAATGTCATTCAAAGAAGATCCCGTCAAGACCACCCCCATGCACCTGACAACCTCTTACAAGTACCAATGTCGATCTAGAGTGTATAGTATCTATCACCGAAGTCACCCAGCCCCGGGATGATATATCTAGCGGTGGCGGTCAGCCGGTCCCACCTTTTATACTGTGGACAATGCGCGGCACTCACTTTTTCTCATCCAAGCCCTGATCTATAAATGCAGTCACTACCCTGAGCTTGGGAAATCGATCTGCAAAATCCGCGACTCCTGATGGACTTGCAATAAGATTGAGAAAGAGTATGCGATCTTCCGGAACACCTTTTGCCTTAAGAACTTCGACCGCAAGCGTTGCAGAGCCGCCTAGGAACAATTAGGTCGAGCCAGCCATGTCGGTGTGTCGCGACTTACCGGTTGCGAACATTGGATCTAGAAGGAGTACCCATCGATTGCGGATATCAGTTGGAAGCTTCTCGTAGAAAAGCTTTGGTTTGCAGGTCTCCTCATCCCTTTGGATCAGGATTTTGCCGATACGCACAGATCGGCAGCAGTCCCTTAAGCCTTGCTCCATGGCTTCCCCTGCCCTCATTATCGAAACGCCGCATATTTTGCCTTCAAATCTAACTCCGAGGTAAACCCTGCCTACTGGTGTGGTAACCGATTGCTCGACCACTGGTAAATGGTTGAGACCTTCCTCGACTAGGAGGCGAATGATTCTATTAGAATAGAAGATGAAGTCGGCGCGACAGGTTTGTTTGTCTCTGATCATGCTGTCTAGAGGATTAGCCCATCATAGTACAGGACGGAGGCGATGCTCCAAAGCAAAATTTGTATGTTTATGCCATTTCTTACGTGAGAAGAGCAATCAATTGAGGGGTCTGTGGAAGGACATGGACATTCTCGTAGGATATATCCTTGGAGACTGTTGCTGTAGGCTTTTCGTCCTCTGGTCTGTAGAACGGTCCAACACCTTGTGCGGGAGAGGGTATAGGTTCGAAATTGTTCTTATGATCCATGATTCAAGGCTTGCCTATGATGATTTTGGAATAAAGGCAGAGAGGATGAAGGAGGGCAGGAGGGGGGAGGGGCAATGAGGAACTGGTTCTAATGTCCGTGCTCCGGACTATCTGCTGAAGTCGCAGTCAGACAGCAGAGCCATATTCTACTAAGACTAGTTTTATTACTCTGTGTGAAAACCTAATGTATTTCTCTATGGCAAAATAAATCTTGAGAGCAAGTAATATGAGATGCGTCATTTATATCTATCATAGTTAAATTATCTAGGTGATAATTATCTATTCGAGTAAGAAAAGGAACTGTTATATCTACACGAGCTTTGTATAAGGGTCCTGCTGACTCTTCCAATCTTCGCAATTATCTGTAAAGAAAAATAATCGGAAGCCTTGGGTACCAGTTATAATCTAGTATAAAGATAGTAGGGAGCTGTGTTCCAAAAATTCATCTTGGTAGTAATTAATATATTAGTTTGTTAATAATCCAGACCCTGTGGCAACCAGCAGAACTACTTTTATACTTGTTTTATTATAGTAATAATTACAAAAAACAAATCTATATATTAAATTATTCTAATTAATATTTTTTAAGACTGTATTTATCTATATAATCTTATATACCGTACGGAAATATTAATATTTTAGATTTTGCATTTAAATTAATAACTTAATTGATTTTTAATATTTTTTCGAAACTTTTAAAGATTTATAAATCTAACTTTTTCGCATGTTTTTTTTAGCTCTATTTTTAGATTTCTTGGGCCTGTTTTAGGAAAAGTATTTTGAAAAAAAAAACTATTTTTTAATAAAATTCAAATCTTGGTTTATTTGTTTATTCTTTTACTTTAAAGAATATATATTATAACTAAACTAGTTTTATATAAAAAAATACTATTATATAATACCTCCTACTACAGCGGCTTATATTTATTATAATAACAGCCTGCTTTTAGATTATACTAATTTCCCAGGTTTTTAATCCAGGTATTTATATTATTATATTGTTTACTTCTTTTCTTATAATATTTTATTCTAAAATTTTTTAAAGAAAAAGATTTCTTAAGAATTAGTTTAAAAATTAAAAAAAAATTATTTTTAATTATTTTGATTTTTTAATTTAAATTATTTTATTTATTTTACCTAACCAGCGTATTTACTATATTGAATAGTTTCAAATAATATTTAATTTTTTATTTTTTAGTTATTTAAAAAATGATATATTATCTATTAAATCATCTTTAAAATTATCTTAAAATATGTTATTAATATATTTTTACAGTAATTATATATTAAAAAATACCTAAAGTATTTTAATATATTAATATATAAAATTTTTTATATTATCTAACTATAAAATATTTTTATTTAAATATACAGAAACTGTCCAGCCGGATAATATTAAGTTATATTGAAAATATAATAATACTCTAATATAGATTATATTTAATATACGTTCTAATATTATATATATAATTAATGACTTATAATTCTTTATAAATAATTTTAATAACTTTTATATTTAAATTATAAATCTTATCTAATACTATCTTACTGTTATAGATAACCCCTGGAACTATGGCGGGTTGCTAACGGTCTATTTACACATCCCCCACGTAACAGTTATAATATTAATAACTCCGATTCTCTTTAGTATTTAACTTCCAGAACCTTGCTAGACCTTCGGATAGTAAGAATTAGTCTTAAAATTAATAGACTGCTATTATTCTATATCTAACTAATCTTTTTTTTTTATAATTCTAATTTTTTTTTTTAATTATTTATAGAATACAGTATGTTACCGTAATTTTTATATTCTAATAGTAGTTCCGAGTCGGAAACTTTTTTTACTACTAATAATTTATTATTTTTATTATTAGATTCTTTAGTAGAAAATCTTACTATAGTTAAAGATACTATTAGTTAGCTATAAAATTATTAGTAGTTAAAAAAACAAGTTGCCGAACTGCAATAGAAAATCTAATATAATAATATTAAATTAGTACTAATTTAGCAACGAAAAACTTTCTCTTTTTTAAATAAATCTAAAATAAATATTAAAATTAAAGATATTCCGTAATTCGAACTTTTTTTTAATATTTAAAAATATTAAAAATAATTCTACAATTTAGATTATAATTTTTAGAAAATATTATTTAAGTTTTATAATAATTATTATAAGATTTTTAAGACTATAAGCTATATAAACACAACTTATTAATAAAAATAATATTATTATTTTAAAAAATTATTACTAGAATAAAAAAAATATTAACTATTTATAATCTGTTTTTACTAAATAAATACTTTTTCTTATCCGAAATATTACTATTTTTAAGTTTAATATAATAAGCCAGCTAGAGCAAGCTCGGCAGTAAAATAATTAAGATTTTTATAAATTTTATATTTATTTTAATATTTTAAAATAATATTTTTCTAGAGTTACTAAAAAGAAATATAACTATACTTTTTTTATAAAATTATTTTCTGATTTTAGTTGTTATATTAAAAAATATATATACCAACTATCTAAGGAATAAAACAAGATAATATTTTTTACTATTTATTATTAAAATCTATATATATAGAAATAAAAATATAAATAGAGATTTAACAGGTCTAATATATTATAAAAATAGTTATAATTTTATAAGAATATTTAATTTTTTAATTCTAAAACTAATTATTCTAATCTAGTTAGAAAAGTTTTATAATATTTTTTATATAATAATATTAAGTATCTTATTAACTAATATTTTTAAAAAAAAAAAATCAGCTTAAATTTAAGAACTGTAAGTTAGAAAAAATAATATAAAAAAATAGAATAGATTAAGACTAACTTTTCTATCTTAGCCCCGTATTATAAAGTAGAAATAGCCGATAAAATATTAATACTAATATAAATATTTAATATTAGGAAAATCTATACAGATATTAATAGTTATATAGTATATAATCTAATTAATATTAAATTTATATAATAATACTTTTTTTTAAAATTCTAGAAATTTTTATTATAATTTAAAATTATTAACTATACTTCTATTACTAATTATAGAATATAAGATATTTCTTTAGATATTACTAATTTAAGAAAAGTACGACAGTGTTTTATTAGATTATATATTATTATTATTTAAAATATTTTAATCTTATTTTTTATAACTATTCTGCTTAACTATAAAATTTATTTATCTTTCTAAAACAAGCAATAATAGTTTAAATTTAGTTAAATCTAAAAATTAAGTTCTTGGAAATTTACTAAGACTTGCTAAAATTATATTTATATTTATATAATTATTAAAGTTTTAGAGAAACTATAGCTTTCAGATAATAATAAGAAATTAGAATATTATTAAAATAATTCTATTCTATTAGAACTAGTCGAATTTACTAATATCTTTTTTTCTAATTAATTTAAAATTTTTTTTAAATATTATAATAAGAATTATATTATCAATCTTTTTAAAAATAAATTATTTTTATTTAGATTTATTTACCCTCTCTCAGAAAAAGAACTTTTAGTATTTAAAAATTATATTAATAAAAATACTACTAATAAAAAAATATATTTATTTAAAAGTTTTATAGGGGCCTCTATTTTCTTTATATCTAAAAAGAATAGAAGTTTGTGGCTATATATAGATTATTATAAATTTAATAAAGTTATAATAAAAAATTAATATTTATTATTCTTAATTTTTAAAATTCTTAACTAATTAGCTGGATATAAATACTTTAGTAAAATTAATATTTAAAACATCTATTATTATATCTATATTAAAAAAAAAATAAATAAAAGACTATATTTTATATATATTATAGTTATTTTAAGTATATAATAATACTGTTTAGCTTAACTAATATACTTGTTTTTTTTTAAAACTATATATACTCCGTATTATATAATATTCTCGATATTATTTATATTATATATTTAAATAATATTTTTATTTTTTCGATAATAAGATATAAATATATTAAATATATCAAAAAAGTACTGGTATAACTATAAAAAATTAATCTATATACTAAATTATTTAAATATTTTTTTTTTTTAGTAATAAGTTAAATTTCTTAAATATATTATTTTCTCTACAGATATTATAATAAATTCTGATTAAGTTAAAATTATTGTTTTATAGCTGTTATCTACTATTTATTATAATATTTAAATCTTTTTAAAATTTTATAACTTCTACTGCAGATTTATTTATAATTTTTTTTTACTAGTACTATTTTTAACAAATCTTTTAAAGAAAAGTTAAAATAATAAGAAACTAAAAATATATTATTTATTTCTAGATGAAAAACTGGTATTTCGCCGACTTATTAATATATTTTAAATTGTTTTTCTTTTTTATTTTTTTAATCTAATTTAATCTATTCGGATCGAAACCGACGCCTGTAATAAAAAAATAGCAGATATTTTAATTTAATTAGAATTAATAGAATAATATTATATAGTTATTATTTAGTTAAAAAAATTCTCGGGTATAAAACTTAACTGGAGTACTCTAAATTAAGAATTTTTTACTATTATTTATTTTTTTAAATATTAATATTAATATCTTAATAGGACTTAATATTTTATTAAAGTTTTATCTAATTATATAAATCTTAGATTATTTATAAATTAATCCCGGTTTAATAAATATTAAGTATATTAGTATATAATTTTAACTTCTTTTAATTTTATAATTAAATATTAATTAAATAAGAATAATTTTGTTAATATTTTATCTAGACTATTCAAGCCAGTAAAAAGCTTTTATAATAATAATATTACGCGGGTGTTTTGTAACCGGTTAGTATTTATTTTAATAATATTTAAGATCTTAATAGTAACTAAAATTAGAAAATCTTAGTTTAAATATAATAAAATATTTTTATAAAAAAGATCTAGATCTAGTATTTATATAATATTAAATAGGTCTATAGATACTACCGGTATAGAATTAGCTGATTAGACTATGATTTATATAATAAACTATAAATAATCCGCTAGTATTACAGTTATAAAAAGTATAAATAAAGCTAAAAAGATTTATAAATCTGTTTATAATAATAATTTAAGAAATTTAATTAAAACTTTTTAAAATTAAGATTCTGAATTCTAAAAA